TGCAGGGCTGCCTACTTCAGTGTGATGCTAGTTAGACAACCTGCCTCAAGAGATCATCTCCACGGAAGCAGGGCATCCCCACACAACTAGGAAACGGTACCACCCGCAGGCCGCGTGGGTGCTGGGGGTGCCCAGGGGCCTGGCACTGTGCCCACGCGCCCAGGCACTGCCGAAGACACAAGTGATGAACAAAAGAGCGCTCAGTTTCCTATAATAAACGAGATGATTGGTGAGATAGCTGTGCCTTACAGATTTAGGGCAGCAATTTCAGTGAACACCAAGAGTTGCTTCAGAGGACTTCCCAGAGAAGGGGACTCCGCACTGACTGTCCAGAACGGACTCGAGGATTCGGGGGTGACAACAATCTCCCAGTGCCACGACAGCCGGCGTCGGGAGGGAAGTGCCTTCATTCTGCACCTCTCCTTGAGCTGTTGTTGCTCAACTGCACTTGCTGTACCCGTCTTTCCCTCAGCAAAACCTGCAGAACCTTGCTGAACAGTATGACTGAAAGAAACTCCAGATTCTTGCTTTCCGGGCCGCAGGCAGTATCTGCCAGCCTTCACGAGCACTGCGCATTCTTGTCACTACTGAAAAACTCCAAGTTCCAGAACCCAACCAACAAAAACTGTGCTGGCAAAGATGCTGCTCATGGCTCTACCCCTCCTGCTGCTTACCTTTCTACGTTTCACGTCTGTACCTGTTAGAGAATGAGCCACAGTTCTCTCTTCTTGTTTTGAATTGGTATTTCAGAAAACAGGGTTCACGTTTTCTTATTAATCATTCCCTACTCCCAAATCTTACTCCGAAACTTAGAGAAACACACATTTGTCCATGTAAGGCTCACCTCCTCTTGGTAAACTTCTCTCCTCACACAGGACCATAGATAACACAATATGATAATATACTGTTAAAGTCTGTATTATTTATTATTTAAAGTCGACGTCTGGCCCATGCAGAAGCCATAGTAAATAATCCTACTAGCTCCCTGAGAAAACCTTAGGGCAAAACGCAAAGGCCTGATGTGATGAAAGAAAACTAAAGCAAAGGTTTTCATCAAGACAGTGGGAAAGGGTCAGGCGAGGAAGCAGCACCAGGCTGAAGAAAGGGATTTTTGTTATGAATACTTGCAAAAAAGAGTTCAAAAAGTAGCCCTGCACATCCATTTTCTTAAAGAAATAAACATTCCAGAGTTATAGCCTTACTCCTGAAACAAGGTCTGTATGAACTGTAATTGATAGCATAACTCTCTCCCATTCCCCCCGTGTTCAGTAGTTTTTGAGCCTTGTTTTCAGGCTCTTCTGTACACTTTCTTTGTTACGCTTTGAAGCGAGCCTGCCCAACAGCCCCTGCAGACCATGATTTCAGTGGTCTCTTTGGGCCTCTCCCCGGAGAGCAGTCCTCGTATCTTCTGCTCACACACAGGGGTAACCCCAAACTCTGGGGCCTCTGGTCTGTACTTTTCAGCACTGAAACTTATTTAAACTACACATTTTGCAGATTATTCCCATTAAACAATGAGCTCGGGCCAGGAGTTCTTCCAGCTGCAGGCCGGGTACAATTCAGGGTTCGGTAAATTACAATTTGCATCTATCTCTGAGTCTGAGATTACAAAATTATTAACGCGTTTCCATACTGGTTTGAAATTCAAGTAGATCCACTGTGTGGATTTAAATACTTTCTTTTAAAAGTAGGCAACAGCAATCTTTTCCCCAACTTTCTAAGAAAATAGAGAAAATAGGGATAAGAAGCAATATAAAAAAGATAGAGCTAACAGATTTGTGGCGTATATGCCTCTGCAATAAGAGAAGGGACTTTAGCGTGGACTCTAAAGATGCCTACATGCTAGTTTCTAAAACTGTACTGCGACTTGGCATAAACTACACGTTTTCCTACATAAGGTATCCAGTTCCTGCAAAGACTACGACCACTCCCCGAACTGGAGTGATCTCCTGTTATGTGGTAACAGGGCCCGTTTTACGTCCTTACCCAGGTCGCAGTGGGTAACCTGGTAAGTCAAGGAGCCACTGTGTTGTTCACCGCACAAGTCTTTGGCACAGAGAGGAACTAGCTCTTCCTGAGGAAATAAGCACATCGCTACTAGAACGTCCGAGGAACAACTCTGGGACTGGTTTAGAAATGCAAATAATGTTCCGCTAGTAGGAAGCTCTTCTCTGCTAACTTTGCGGTTTACTACATGGTAGTGTATTCAGCAGGGAATTCTATATATTTCAGTGTGGCTTGCGCAATGTTCTTGTTAAGAAATTATTCAGTTTTCTAACGTAATGCTCAAAACTTCCAGCTGCTAAAATGGGTGCAACTTTTGTTTTCTTGTTTCCTTGAGCTACAGAATTCGTTGCTGACATTGAATTTAGCTGACATAGCACTGTCTGGGGACTAACCATAGCCAATGTGTGCATGGGAGACCTCATGGTACTATCTCTATTATTTAACATTAAGTGAGTTGTAAACATGGAAGAGAGACCAGGAACACTTGGTAAAAAGGCCTTTGAGGAAAAAAAAAAACCCTTCTCTTTGTATTGTCTTACATGCTTAGAGGCTGAGAGGTGAGTCACAGCTCCGTGAGCTATTTAGTGTAAAGAGCTATGTTGACTCAACAACAAATAGTCACATTTCGAGGCCTCTGGTAAGTCTCGTAGCTCTAGATTCAAGTGGATAATTTCCCTTCTTCTCAGTGATAGTTGCCCCAGTGAATAAAACTGGCTTGTAGAGTCACTCAGTTGTCCTGGTATAGTTACAATAGGGGCAGCTTTGTTTCTCAGAGATGCATCTTTTAAGATGAAAAGAAAGATGAAAAGAGGGTTAGTGATTTAGATGGTATTACAAGTGATTTACGCCATCCTTACAGATAGCTTCTATAGTGGCTTTTTGAAGAGGCCACAGTCTGCCATTCCTTAAAGAAGCCCCAGAAAGCATGCTTTTCTCCTAAGTCAGACTTCTTTGGCAAGAAATGAAATTCAGTATGTAGCCCCCCCCCCCAAATAAAATTCCTCCAATCACAGGCAGAGATATCATAGCACCCATTTTATAAGCTTCTGAGTTCCTATATTATGCTTGTAGAATCATGGTTAAACAAGGGGACCTTCTATTTGAAGACCTGAGTTGTGAATGGGTATACGCACACGGTGTCTCCAGCTATTGTAAACAGGCACCCCTACTTGCTAAGTTTCCAAGAACAGGTCAGTTCTCTGAGGAGAGGCAGTGAATGAGTCTGTACTGTAGTGGACGAGGCAACGAGAGAACGGCCATGCCAGGTGGCCCAAAGAAGGCTTCAAGAGACAAGAGACAGGCTCATCGGGGACGATGATGAAGTTAAAGTTGACCAGAAGCATTAACAGTTTTCTCAGTCTTGTTGTGTTGTTGTTGGGTTGCTTTTTTTTTTTTTTTTTTTTTAAAACATCATGAAGGTGGATTTGGAAAGGGAATTTAATTCAATGTTTAGGGAGAAAATAATGAAGTCCATTGCTGTCCCTCCATTACGTGTGTGCACTTGCAACCATTCCCTGCACTCCTTTCTGATCAACCAAAGCCGGCTGCTGCCAAGAACTACCTGGAACGGAGTCAAATGGAGCGTGCGCTGTGAGATGGTAGAACCGGACGCAGACCGGGATCTCTGGATTTGTACCTTGGTGCTCGTCCTGTGTAATTGCTCTATAACCTGTGGTTTATGAGGCAGGTACATTTATTTTTGAAAACCTTCCTTTTTATGAAATTCTTCTCACTTGAAAGGAAGCTCTGTTTTATTTGAAATGGAGCGTCCTTCTGAAATGGTTTATTTTGTTAATTTCATAAGTACAGAATTTAATTGTATTTCTAGAAAAGTAATCTTAAATTAGATAATTACTTGTTTTTACTTAAATTGATTTTCATGTCTCCAACTTATTTTTAATTGAAAATAATACTGTGCTGTATTATGGTGAAAATATTTCCTTTCAGGGGCTAGTAAATTATTTACTCCACTGTCCTCAGAGATAAATTATTCATTATAAAAATGCATTTATGACTAAAATCATATGATGCTCATTGTGGCAGTTTAGAGTTCTGTGGGGCTTCATGTTTTAATTTTTTAAGTGGTACTCTTGTTTCTTGCAAGTTAACAAAATAATTCAATTCTCAGTGAAAAGAAACGTATTTTTTTATTGAAGAGTTATACTCTTTAACATATATTATTATGTCAGAATGGGCCAGCTTCAGAAATCCACAGTGGATAATGTTACTTATTAGATATTCTAATAAGAATATTAGAATGATATTCTAATTAGAATATTCTAATATCACTCTAATATTCTAACATTAGAGTGATATTTCTAGCACAGTAGACAGTTCAGCCAATTTTAAAATCTTTAAATTTTTGTAATCTGACTATCCGGCAGTGGTCATCATTAGAGTACCTGATACAAATGTTTCTGCATAGGTGTCAACGTCTACGTGGATATATTTGTCCCAGAAACTATCCTTTCATATTGCTCTATAACTCCTGTCAATTCTATATCTATACCTACCTATATCTATATCTATCTATAGGGGTTATATATAGATATATAGAGAGGATATATATATATATATATATATATATATATATATATATATAAATAAAACCCCTGTCAATTCTATATCTTTATCTCTATATCTACATATATCTGTATATAGATATATATACACATATACATATATAAAAGACATTTGTGTGTGTGTATATATTTTTAAAAATTCCTTTTTCAGAGTAAAACATCTTCTCTCTCTCATGTTTTGTCCCTAATCAATTTTTAGCATGAACTTCTTTTTTATCAATACGAAATCCCGAGATGAACTAAACTTTGTTACCTGGGTATGACGCCTTGTTCATTGCAAAGATGGCTCTAGAGAGGCAAACTTTAAGACAAACAGCATGAAGAAAACTAACTGATCCTAGCCAAGGAACTGAAGGCTTCCCATCTCCTTCTCTGGCCTCTTTGCTTTCCCACATACACATGATCACTTACCAAGTGGCAGAAATGCAAGACGGTTTCCAGCCATGGAGAGCTCGTTGAGGCTGGGCAGCTGGCAGAGGTGGCGCGGCACGCACCACAGACGGTTTCGGTCCACGGTGAGGTACTGCAGAGAAAGGCACAGGTGAAGCCTCTCGGGTAAAGTTAGCAAACGATTGGTAGAAATGTCTAGTGTCTGCAGCTCCTTCAAATCGCCAACCTCTACAACCAAAATCAAAATTAAGATAAATCGCATCCTGATTACACTCATTAGTTAAATAAAATGAATCAATACGGTAACAGTTCAACCAAATAAAACCAGTAGCTGCAGCTATTTCATTAGATATGGATGCTGGGGTACAGGGTGTAGGTCTAGTATGCAAATAATCCAACCTGGATAGGTGTCTTTCAATGAGCCTGCAAGATTTTTTTTTTTTTTTAATGGAGAAAGTGTTGGCATAGAGAAAGGAGAGACACAAAGAGGTGATTATGACCCAGAAGTTCGTTACTATGGCTTCTGCTTCTTGATGAGTTGAAAGTGGTTGCTAGGGTAAGAAAAACACAGTCACTCCAAGGTACCGGACTTTGCTACTTTTGTGATTTTTACCTAAGTAGACAGCAGGATACTTAAACCTAAGTTATAGTATCCCAGTGAGTACCCCTCATCCATATGAACTAAACAGAAACCTCCCAGACTAACAATTAGGATGTCTTCGGAAATTTTTACCATGGTAAATATTATAATTATAAAGTGAAATTATTGGTAGGTCACATTTTTCGGTATTGTCCAGCCATGTGAATCCTTTTTATAAACCCATTCGAGGAGTACATATCCTACGAAGATGGCTTTAATTCCACCCAAATGAAATCCTTCTGTTTACTCGAATATCCCTCATTGTTGATGCCCATATTTGTAATCTGTCCATGGTGAGTACAATCATGTCCTTGTCACCCATTAAATCACCATGTCTGAAGGTCAGGAAGCTCTTTACAAGGTGCTCTGTCCTTCTCAGGGAAAATGCCCACGAAGCATCTCTGGACAGAGGGAGAGATCTCGAGGGGAAGGACACGCATCCTGTCCAGGGACTTCAGGCTCCCTAGGAAGCGCTGGGCAGGGCACGTCTCCTTCTTCGGTGCCAAGGAACATCCAAGCTGGAGGCCGCTGCGATGCCATCTCGTCACCTTCCCTAACCCTGACCCTGTCCGACCCTGTCCCAGGGGCCATCCCTCTCATGTTAGGGTTTCCCACGCTCTTGTCGCTTGACGGCGCCCCTCTGGGCACAGCCCAGTTTGTTCAGGGCTTAGGTTCACAGTAGCAATGCCTTCTCTGCTGGATGGAGAATCTTCTGCCTTCTTGATGTCCAATTCCACAGATCGGCTTTTTTTCTTGCCACAGGCCAGGGGTTGGCAAGCTACACCGCACAGGCAAACTCTGGCCCACGGCCCGCTTCTGCACTGTTTGCAAGCTACGCTGGGGTTTTTACATTTTGAAGGATGTTCAAAAACAACACTAACAAAAACAAAAAAGAATATGTGGCAGAGACCCTATGTGGCCTGCAAAGCCTGAAAATATTTACTATCTCGCCATTTACAGAAAAAGTTTCCCAGTTTTTGTTAGAAACCTATTGTTGACAGGAGCATTTTTAATAGCTATCTTTGAATAAAGTCACACGAATGCAAGATACATTAATTTCTAGTTATGTTAAAATGAAAAATTTAAAAAGTAACACAAGAATTATTTTTTAAAAATTCTTTATAAAATTAAAAAATAAAATGTCTATTAAAGCAAAATTTTAAAAATTGCATATACTGATTATCTGGATATTGGAAATGAGTAGAACAATTATCCTTGGTATAAATTCGTATCACTTAATCCGTTTCTTAGCTGTTTTTATTTCTCATAATGTGTTCCTCGCATTTTTTCTGGCGTCTTTTCAATGTGGTATTATTATGTTTCTTTTTAATGAAATTGTTTATAATTAATTTTACCCTTAATAAATTTAACATCATTACACCTTCAAAAATATTTATTGACGGGTCATCTTGAAACTCATGGGGCAATAGCGACACGGAGTCGCCACGCGCTCTGTTTGGAGTATCAGCAGGACCCTACCCTTTTCAGCGGGTCTCCCTGTTACCTCGCCACTCACTGCGCAAGGAGTAAACGTCCGTTTGCACACTTTTATTTCCTTAGTGGGCCTAGAATAACCCTCACTTCACGGCCGTTTGCTTTCATGCTAAATATACAATACCTTAAAAGTTTTCAGCTACTTCTAGAATATCCTGAAGATCATTCCATTATTGCTGCATAGCAATTACTTAACACAAAGCATTAGAAATAATATCGGAGTGCCATTTCAAGAGAGAAAACAGCAAATTCCCTCTAAGTGATCTTTCTCCACTGACGCACACTGACCTGCTCGAAAGTTTTAAATGGGGATGGGAAGGAAGCCACCCACTTCATGCCAAGCCAGCGACCACAGAGTCAATAACTAGGCTTGGTATTTGTCAAGCCCTGGCTTTTTCCGGTACCACTAAAAACAGCTCTCATTTGGGATCCGAAGTGCGCCGGCTTAGGGAGAGCACACAGAGAAATGACGGACAAGGTTTCAGGGCCGGGTTCCGCTCCACATACAGGGCGGCCCCCCCTTCAAACTCATCCTCTGTCTCGAGATTGGGCTGTGGAAGGTGCACACTCTGGTGTGCAGAGCTAGGTTCAAGCCATGACCCAGTTCTTTATCAGCTGTGCAACTCTGGGTTACTTACTCAAATATTTAGATCATTAGTTTGATATTTAAAAATGATTTCTTAAAAAAAGAGATAGAATAACATATCCCTGACGTGACTAAATGAAATATCCCATATAATTCAACAATCCATGGCAGAAAACAATATTTATTTTTAATTTTCAGCTCATTATACTATATAATATTCTAAATGTAAGTTCTAAATATAAATACCTTTTTAATTGATGCAGTTTTATCACTGAAACAATTATGAACACAGTAGGTACATGTTGGTTATGTCTAACAGAGAGAAAGGGGCTCATAGAAATAGATGCCTTTCAGGAAATGAGCAGGACTACCTTCCTTGTTCAAATAAAAAAATTAAAACCAATCATAAGGAGCTTGCTATCATTTCCTAACTTGGAATGTGTGCCAGGTTATGTTTAATAACAAATAATCACAAAGGAGAATAAAATTAACAATACCAGAAAGTTCATTGAAAGAATCTATTAACTATGTTTACATTTGTCTAACATAAGCAACATCAAACTAGCAATTAAGAAGTCCTTTTAATTATGAAAGAAAGTTAAATATTACTTGGGAGCTTTAAAATAAAACGCTCTAAAACATCTGGCATCTGAGAAAACACAATAGGCACTGATATGGTTTAAATATTTATGTCTGGGTGTCATGCTTACCAGTTAATTCCCAATAGAAATTTTAAAATGTTAAAGACACATTTCACAGAAGAAAAATCACATTATTCTGACATTTAACCTGGTCTTTGTGTATGATTAAGTTATGTGCTAAAGTCTCATTCAGTGTTGTTCTAAATAAGTTATTTACCAGGTCTTTATTGGTTATCTAAACAAATAGTCAATTTGATACTTGAGGCGCTTAGCAAAATGTCACTGAGAATATGGAGAAGATAAGAAAAATTCAATAATAAAAATAAAGAAAAGATAAGAAAAAGTATTTTGTAAGTATTCTTCCTGAGTGGCAATTATAATATACCAGTTAGACAGAAATGGCCTGTATCATATCTTTAGATACATTCTGTCTGAAATTGAAAAGCATTTATTCAAATACTTAGCATCTTTATTATTGCTTTGTGTCAATACGTGGATTGCTACTTAGAAAAATCCTTTATTGTCCTCTTTCTGTGAGATTCGTGGAGACCACACATGCAGGTTTTTCATTTTGTGATATATTTTGGTGATTGTCTATTTCCCAGATTTCTTCTAGGAAGGCCTTTTTTCCCCTCACTGAGGTAGCACAAAGGAGTTTTTGACCTGAATGAGATCAGCAGGTGTCCATTGTTGGCATAAAACTATTATAATCACCACCTCAAGAAATACCACAGCATTGTAGTCCAGAATAAAAATTTATTTTTTTTATTTCACTCCTTCGCAGAGAATAACTACAAGCAATCCACATTTCCCTATCTGAAAAAATATCACCGTAATGATTGCTTTCCTCTCACTTTCTAAACTCAAATTAATACAAGGAGAAATTTTAAAGAGAAAATTTTTAGTGGATATACATTTCAAATTGATCCATTCTAGTTTATTTCTTTGAAGTTCCCATCAGAAAAGTAGCAACCTTGAAAAATAGGAAGTGGTTGAAAAAAGAATGATCTCTACTGATAGAACACTGAGAAACATATCATGCTCAACATATGAAAAACAGGTTTAAGGCAAGCTCGCCATTAATTCAAAGAATTTCACATTAAATTCAAACTGTAACTCTGATTTCTAAATATTTACCCTCTATAAGAAATTCACATTATCACTATCGACATAAGATGTTTTACACCAGAGAAGTCTAAATTTGAACGTATTGGCGGCCAATCATAATACAAAAGCAACAAGACTCTAGATGCATTACCTGTTATTGTTTAGAGTTACGGAGGAAACCATCGGCAGAATGAAAACAAAAGGCACTCAATAGTGACTAATACTAAGGACAGGAATAAAATGGAAGCATGGAAAGATATTAACTTTTCATTTTTAAACTTCTCTATACTGTTTAAATATGTTTTTCATGCTCATGTATTGCTTTTATATTAATGCAAACTTAATCACACGATAATATGGTACTTCTTCACACACTTTGGGATTCCTTAGAATACCAGATGCAACAATTCTACAATGTGGATTCTAGATGTCCTGGCCTAGTCACTCAGTTGGTTAGAGTGTCATCCCAATATACCATGGTTGTGGGTTTGATCCCCTGTCAGATACTTCTCTGTCGCTGTCTCTCTCCCTTCCCTTCTCTCTCTGAAGTCAACAAATAAATAAATAATAAAATAAAATATAATTTGGATTGTAGATTAAAATTTGGATTTCCTAATGACATTTCAGTTCACTGAAATGCAGTGCAAGAGCGAACAAAAATTTAATAGATATGTCTATCGAGTGCTGCTCTGCAAATCTAGCTTGCTGAGGGTCTTGTAAGTTTTGTCATTATGAAATGAAAAAAAAAAATCAAAGTTTA